TAAAAAAAGCAAGAAAAATTTAGTAACGCAAAACCAACAGTTCTGACTGCCTATTTTCTAAAAATGGGCAGATCTCCAGCATCATCTGTGGCTTTTAACCCTCGGGCATGAACGCCTGTATCTAGCACCAATCGCAGAGCAGCTCCACGCTGTGGGAGGAGGGAAAGTCTTAGATATATGCACCGGCACGGGGATCTGGGCCTTTGATTTTGGTATGAAATCTGGGCCTTTGGCATGACGAGGCTAACATGTCGGGTTCTAAGCGGATCAACACCCAAGCACAGAGGTTCCTGGAATTGATTTAAGCCCCATCCAGCCAAAATTGTAAGCATGCCTGTTTTTGTTGGCAGTCTCATGCTTTGGAACCCGGCGGGTTTCTTGAGATTCAAGATGCACTGCTCTGTTTCAGGTGCGACGAGAGATCCCTCAAGGGAACTGCGATAGAGAAGTGGGCGGAAAAACTTCACAAGGCAGCGTGGAAATCTGGGAAAGACTGGGCTTGTCCAACGAAATACAAGCTATATATGGAAGATGCCGGATTTGTCGACGTAAAGGAAGTCCAACATGACAGGTGGCCTATAAATCCCTGGCCTAAGGGCAAGGATGAAAAAGAAAAAGGGATGTGGTGCTTACAGAATCTTCTGTTGGGACTTGAATCGATTTCAATGGCTCTTATGACCCGATACCTGGGCATGTCAGTGTGGGAGGTACGCGGGGATCTTGAATGTGTGGAGAAGGAGATCAAAGACCGAAAGACTCATGCGTACATTCCTATGTAAGATACTTTCCAGCGGAAGACAAAGAGGTAATGCTTACAAGACACATAGATAGGGAGTTTATGGACAAAAGCCTTAGTATATTCAGTCAAGTAAACGTGTATCTTGTTGAAAGATAGCTGGCTCTCTATTGAGATTTGGAAATCGCCAGATGTAAGATATCATGAACTAAAATAAATGAACAGAGTAGAAGGCTAAGAACTTTCTTAATCATATGATATGACACTATATGGCTTGAGCGAGGGACGTAGCTATCTATTCAACGTGTAGTCGGAGGTTCATGGCTCAGTTGACAAAAGAGAAAAGCAAAACTGTGCAGAGACGAATATACGGCATTCAGTACATGCATTCCTTTTTAATTAGGCGCTCGCTCCCTTGAGGAGAGTGAGTTCACCCATTCCTCTAGCGCCTCATTATCGTCTGCGATGTCTCTAAGCGACGCTTCAACTTGGTACTGCCGCGGTCCTGCAAGGCCCTATGCTCTTGTCCGGGAAGCGATGCGAAATCTCATTCCACGATAAATCGTCTCAACTTAGTTGCAACAGAGGCTCGTCATCGTCAGACAAGAATCGCGCATGCCTGACAGGTTATCTCATCGAGCGTTGTCACAGAGGCGACGGTCCTGAGTCTCCTCTCACTGCGCCTAAATTTTGTTGAACAGCGCATCCAGATGGACCCTAGGCTGCGGTCAGGGAGGGCAACACCGTTCCTCATCCGTAGCAGCAATGCACTCTTTCTGGTGCCCCTTTAGCGGAAGCTCCCTTGGCTGGAACAGTGCTTAGTGTATCTTGGAATGTTCACCCTCCTGATAGATGTGAATCTGAGCCAGTGTCTCCTTTCCAGGACAGATATCTAACGCTTCAAGATCGATCGGTAAGTAAAGTATTCCGAGATCGATGATAATTTTAGCTCAAGACTGTATTGTACCTTGCGCCATCCCGGATCCGTGTGCGTTCAAAGAAGCCTTGGAAGGGCTATTCCCAGAACTCCACAACTGGTGACTCTATCGTAGCTAAGGCACATGAGAGGTTCGTGGAGAGGATGCCGGGAGCCCAGAGCGGCTGCAGCGAGGGCAAGCGTGGACATAGAAGCCAAGCCTTCCTAATCGAGCGAAGAAATTGACAAAGGCCTTCGTACACAAATCGTTCGTCTTTGACGTCTGGTTCCTGACCGGACTGGGAACTTTTTGGATGGCACAACATGTAAGGAGTGTAGGCATAAGCGGTGCCATGATTGCGTCCTCGAAAGACTGGCAAGGAATCCGTCTTAGTATCTCAGCAAGGGAAGGAGGTAACTTCACGAAATGCGGGGGACCGACTCACGACAAGAGTGATGTAAGACTAGTGGAATTTGCTATCTCTGTGATATTTTGAGGAAGATGAATGAAAGAGGGTAATATAAAAGGTACCGACGTGCACAACACCGATGACCTTACGGGTTCAATATTCCACGCTCGATTTAGTAAGCTTCCGCAGTTCTTGGACGATTCAAGAGTAGCCAGGGCACCGTGCTCAACTTGAGTCTAGCACGAGAGGCATCTATTTCGCAAACATCGACTTGGATAACCAGCTTCACAGTTGCTTCCGAGGCCGGCCTCGCCGTGTCTTCTGCTGTGGGCCACTTGATGCATCGGTTTGTACCACCGCCAGGTTGCTTCGCTGCAAATCCAAACGCAATCGCTCGTTCTTGGCCTGGCACTGTGCTCGCAGTCGCGCCTCGAACTTATTCACCATCTCCTTTGAATATCCCAGAGAGTGTAGTGCTCAGGCAGCAGTGTCGGATGCCAATCCACCATGTAGTGCAGGACACCATCAATATCCTCTCTGCCGATAATCCCGCGGACCTCCCAATCCTGATCAGTGTCGATTATCTGTTGGCACAGTTGAGATTTGGTTGGAGCACATGCCGATGCAGGACTGGTTCTGGCGGTGCTGACAGGGCTGAGAGTCCTATCGCCCTTTAACTGATTATTACCCAATTCGACCAGTTCATCTGTAGTGCGGTTAGCAAGGCTTCCGTGCACTATACCCCAATAGACTCAGCACACCTACCATAGCTTTCAAGAGCTCTCGATCCACGAGAACCCAAATTATTGTTATCCACAGCTTGGTTGTTCCCCATTTCGGCAGTGTCCTTCATGTTCAATGGCTCCCCCGCCGATTTGTGCTCGTCTTTCCCATACCGTACGGGTGCCAAAGAGGGAACTCCGCCGTCAAAATGGTCTCTTTTCACTACAAGGTTTGCTATATGCCATCAGACAAAGACGGCGACATCGGCGGGAGTAGGCTCTAGAAACTCTAATGGCTCAAGGGGCACGCTGCCGCTGTCTCAGTTGGCCCGCGTCGTATCTGCAGGCTCCAGTGCTCAACACCCCTTGTGAGCAAGCGAATTGGGTCATCACCAAGGAAGGTACGTCGTCACGCTGTGGAATGGGTCGGTCTTTGGCGAATCCGAGAAGACTTTCCTCATCAAGCAACCCCACTTAGGGTGATTGCCGCAAGAGGAAATTCGGACAGTAAATAAAGACCGCGGATCTCTACCGAAACATTCCAACCAGCAGGAAAATGTACGTTGCTTCCAGACACCCACCCCACTCCTTCCCAGCTCAACCAGTCCTCCCCCTCCCCCCGAGCGATCCTGCCGCCTGCTGCCTGCTGCCTGCTGCATCATCCACGCCATGCCCGGCACCAACGCGTATGACCAGTCTCGAACTCGTGGACCGTTTTCGAAATGGAGAAGGGTGGGACTCACGACGGGTGAGGCCGAATCAAAGAGCAGGTCTGCTCGTAGGAGGGGAAATTCGAGGGGCGACACGAGCAATAGCGCCGGGGTGAGGATCGTGGCAAGCGCCGGACCGAGGCACCCCTACGGCCGGCGCGCTGGGGGAGTTGGAGTTGGGAGAGAAAGGTCAGAGAGAGAGCAGTGGAGGTGGGAAACAGCGATGGATTTATACTTGAGGTGGGGCTCACAATCCCTCGTTTCGGCGCGTGTTGGTCTATACGACGTGAGGTTGGCGGCTATTGCGACGTGCAACAAACGTAAAGTTAACGCGCATCTGCTCATGCGACGTGCAACAAAACTGAGCCTCAAGCGTTCAACGAGTAAGCTGCACTCGTGGCTTGCGCTTGAGCGCTTCACTCGTGGCTTACGGGTGGCGTGTGTTAGTTTGTACGACGTGAGGTTGACAGCCATTGCGACGTGCAACAAACGTGAAGTTAACGCGCATCTGCGCATGCGACGTGCAACAGAATTGAGCCTCAAGCGTTCAACGAGTAAGCTGCACTCGTGGCTTACGGGTGGCGTGTGTTAGTTTGTACGACGTGAGGTTGGGCGTCGCATTGCGACGTGCAACATAACTAAGCCTAGAAGCGTTTAACGAGCAATAAGCTTCATTTCGTGGCTTGCGGGTGGCTTGTGGTTGGGCTTGTGTTTGTACGACGTTAGGTTGGACCGCGCATTGCGACGTGCAACAAACCCGAGCCTAAGGTAGAGAGGCGTTTAACGAGCGCTCCCGCTCGCTATCCCTGCGCCATCGCGGCTCAGGACGGGCAATTTGAACATATGGAGAGATTGGGGTCCCGAGACAATGATCTGCGCAGGCCTAGAACACCATCTGTGCCGAGACTTCCTCTGAGATTATTTGACGCAATATAATTTCATCGCATCTCGTCTCATATCGAGCATATCCCTGAGTCTCGGGTAGGGCTGCAGCTGCTGCTGCATCTCGAAGTGGCAGAATCCCCGCATCCAGCTTCACCGCCAATATTTGTGGGTTGCGATGTTTACGATTGGAGGCTTCTGATTTATTGGTGGGTGGCGAGAGCCAATTAGCGCTACCCGCCAATCAGAACTATGCGGGCAAGTGGCAGAAAATTTCGAGAAGGCCTTAGCGGTGAAGGGACTTGGCAGATTTTTGAACCGATCCCACCCCAACAGATGCTGTGCCGCTGCCAAGCTGCGGCTGCTCCCGATGACATTACTCCATGAGATCGACAGGAATCGATCGACCGGAAAGAACCGAGATGAAATGACGGCACGAATCAGGTGGTGGGTCAAGGGTTGAGTGGTTGAATTGAGACTGAATTAACGACTGACTGCACATGCCGCATTCATTTATCCATTCACCTAGCTAGCCCACCAATGCCATCGATACTCAGAATCCCAAACGCCATACCATGCTTTGCTTTGTTTTGTTACCACCCGATATGATCTTTGATACTACCATCGAAAAGACCGGTAGTGCTGTGTCGAGGGACGAAGTGACGAACCTGGATAGACTTATTAATACTACTTTCGAAATTGAGAACGTAAATGGGCGGCATACTTGACAAGTTTAATAGCAGTATCTAGCATGTCCCTAGCCTAGAACTAGCGCAGCGAGGAGGAAAAGTAAACCGAAGAGTAAACCGAAGACTAACGCAACGATGAAGAAGAACCATCTCTTTTGAGCTTCCATAAAAGCGTCCATTACTTGCTTTGCGTTCATTTCGTCTTCGTTTTCGGTATTATCGTCGAAAGCGGGGTCGGTAAGAGGATGGTTTGAAAGATAAGCTAAGATTAGAAGTTAATAGTTGTAGTAAATAGATCGCAAATTAATCTTACCTGTGTGGTGCTCGAATTAGTTGTTGTTATCTTCAAAGTGCTCGAGTTCGTTGTTGTTGT